AAAAATTTCACTATTTCTTAATTATCTCCCCTTGAAAAAAGGCGATGCCCTCCATTTGAGTTTACCTGAATCCTGTTTATCCAAGAATGCTTTGTGGCAAGTTTGGTGGAAATTGGCCCAGTGGTTCTAAAGAAGAAGTCGAAAATGTTAAAAGTTTACCGACAGACAGAAAGCTAAATGGACAGACGGACACTGGGCAAAATGTGATCATAAAAGCTCACTTGAGCTTTCAGCACAGGTGAGCTAAAAACTCTAACTTTGAAATGATTTGAAAAGAAATATGTAATATGTAAGTTATGAAATATTTTCAATAAACCTACACAAGCCCTTTAGTACATTCTCGGTGATCCATCTATTTTCCTCATCATCGTTAACTTCTACAAGGTAAGAATCACAGATCCTGCAGGACCTCTAAAAAAACAATAGATATTTTAAAATTTGTATGCAAATTTCATTGGGAAATGTTTTATTAGAAATAAAGCCATTTAAAATAGCTATCGTTTTTAAATTCAAAGGAATTCATATTTAGCTTTCCAAAACAAAATTTAACAGTTGCTTTCCTTTGGGAAGTCTAAAATTAATTCAATGCTAAATCATGATATTACAATCCAATACTGGATAAAAGAAAATTAAGATATCAAAATTTTTCAGTTTAACGAAAATGGTGAAGATAATGATTATTCGAATATATATATATATATATATATATATATATATATATATATATATATATATATATATATATATATATATATATATATATATATATATATATATATATATATATATATATATATATATATATATATATATATATATATATATATATATATATATATATATATATATGTATGTATATGTATATATTTATGAGAAGGGACCGAGGAGGAGTAATGAAATATGGAGATAACGAACAGTATTCAAGCTCAAAATCTATCAATACTATACAAATCGGGAGCAAAGGAACTACGGACCTCCAAAAGCATCAAATGCAGACCCAGGTGACATAAAGGAAGGATATCGGGCATCCCCGGTCGACCAATCACACCAAAGAAAAACCGAGAAAATCGTAGAAAGTTCCGTAAATAATGACCTAACACTTAGCATGAAAAAAAAAACATAGGCGCTTGGGTCAAGGATACTGTATATTCTGATTTACACCAAATTTTCATATAAATATTTTTTTTTACCTCACACCAAAAGTAGGTGTTGATATTCAATATTGATACAAGTTATTCTGTACGTTTTTATACTTGCACAATTCCCACTGCATTCATCTAGAATTTCAAGCAAAGAAAACAGTATGCTTACTGTGCTTTTATAGTTCCATTATACAGTAAAATAGTCCATCTCTTCTCCACAACTCCTCTCATACCACTGAATGAAATTTGTTGAAACTTTCACAGAATCTTAAAGGCATATTGCCGATGTGCATCTTCTATTTTTCTTTTTGATCCGAAACATATTTTGGGTTTCCCACAACAAAAACATGGACACTGCAATTATTTTCATATGGGAGGCTTAGGGTATCATTTAGTGAGCTCATTGCTCACAGTACCTCTAGTTGTTTTAGTGGAGACAGCGATTTATCTTTTCCCTTTAGGGTTTTGTAAATAATGTACACATGTGTTATCATTTTCAAACAACCTTCCATTTAAAATATAGTTTATTCATTATGAAATATGATTAAACAGTATGCATGTCCTCTTACTTTGCAGTTTCCTGAGATAAAGGCGCAGTAATTTGAACAAAAAGCTTACCATCGCCGCTTCCTGAGTTAAAGGTGAACCAATTCGTCGGTAGCATGTCCCTTTGTCGTTGTTACAAATCCATCCTGTTACACACTCTGCGGAGAAAAGAATATTTTGATGTTTAAAAAACTTTCAAAACTGACAAATAAGTACAAATGTCGGAATATTTTCCAAGCAAACAGTTCTCAGCATTTTTTGTGGATTTACCTAAAGTTTCATGAAAATATTTTAATGCCTTTTCATAAATACAACGAGTTTTGAAACACTTTCTCAGAGGTCCATGCTTGCTCTGTTCATAATTTGTATAGTTTAACGAGGCCCGATCTACTTGATCTGCGCATACGTTTTAACGCAGCGTCGACTCAGACACGTCACAATACCCTTGACTGCCGTCACAATTGAACACAATAACGTCACAATTAAAATGACGTCAAATTGCGCTAAAATGTTTCGCTGATCTTGCTTACCTGGTAGCGCTATAGACAATGCATATCAATTTTTTGGTACAGTTTCATTAATTTTATCCTGTTTTATTTCAATTTGTGAGTTTAAAAGAAAAACAAACATTGCAACTAAAAGTAAACGATTTTAGTCATTCTCTTCGAACATGTTGAAGTGTTTAGACACACTCTTTTTATTTTTCTACATATTACATGATATTAGTAAAAATCGTAATTTTGTCGCCTTTACCCCCCCCCCCCTCCCCTCCTCCCTCTACCCCTATTTTCCACGTAAAACAATGTCGCGTGTTAAGAGAAAAATAAAGCATGGCGAGAAAATTATTTCATAATGTAAGAATATTTTTTTTTAGAAACTAATACAGTATTGCAATCGTTTGTTGGTGTTATGTAAACCCATTGCGACCTATAAAATACGTAGTTGGATAGAATAAATCCAAATTTTGTGTTTTGACATGCCCCCTTTTCACTGCAATAAAGGCTACCTCCAATTTTCTTTTCATTTTTTATAAGAAGAATGAAAATTGCATGATATATGTGAAAAACAAAAAATTTCATCATGTATTTTTTTTTTAATTTGTAAATTTCTTTGTTTATTGAAGAGTTTTATTATGTAATTGTGTATAAAAACACGAAATATGGCCCATATCTTGACAGTGTACCCATTTCACTACAATAAAGGCAAGGTAACAAAATTTCATTCTAATTTTTCTAAACATAAAACATACAAGTATATTTCCAAAAATCAAAATTTTTTATCATTCCGTTTTCGTAATTTTCAACTAGATCGGGGCTCGTTAAATGTACTTAAAGCACATACCGATATCTTACATACAGTGTATTAAGACTATATATAAATCAATAACGACAGAATATTCGCATAGAATACACGCATACATTTTATAGAATACTCTGCCGAAATAGTGCAAGGTTGTCTTTTCCAGAGAAAATGTGATACCCCAACAGAGGGATGGAGCGTGTCATCCCGAGAACGTCTGAGTTGAACGTGATAACCATGACGGAAGAAAACGTCATAACTTTAAAGAATTTATTTTCATGTTTATAAACGTAGTTTTTTATTGATGAAAAATTTCACGGGTACATGTAAACATGATAAATTTCATCTTAAGAAACATTCATTTTAACATAATTTAAGGAGGCTAGGGAATAACAAATTATTTTCTAATAACCATCAGATATAACTTAAATCTTGGGATATGATATCTTCAGCTGTCTACTATCATTTGGCAATGAAAAATTTCATAAAATCTAGTTTTAAAATTTGATCATTTTGTTATATCTTTATATGGAGTTCTTTTTCTAAAGAAGATCTAGAGGTCCCGTGTCGCAGTAGGTGCTGGCACGAAAAAGATCCCTCCCTGCTCAGTGACTCTGAGTGCCGAACATATGACAAAATTTGCAGCTCTCCACCTCAAAGTGTTGGCGTATCCATATGGGAGAAAAATTCTCGAAAGGGACGATAAACAATATACAATAAATCAATCAATCTAAAGGAGATAAAATTAAAAAGTCTAAAAATGGCCTCAACCACCCAGCCCCTTTAACACAATTTTGCAAGTTTAACATTCAATTAAATACAAAATCTATCATAATCATATCTACAATATACTATTGAAACGTATTTATCATACCATTTCCACAAAACAATAAATACACTAGAGGTACTTTGAGCAACGAGCTAGCGCATTAAATGATACCCCCGCCTTCCATATGATTATAATGGCAAAGTCCCTGTTTAGCTCTTGGAGACCCGAAATAAGTGTCAGATCAAAAAGTAAAATATAAGGTGGACAATGGCATTATGTAATAGACAATATTTGAAAGGATGATTAAATTTTATGGAGTGGTATAGGAGGAATTGTGGGTAAGAGATGGGTACCCTTTAATGTTATAGAAAAAAGGGCAGTGTTAATCTTTTGCTCTGGAAAACCCAAAATAAGTGTCAGGATAATAGGAGATGCACAATGACACTATATATAACAAAGATTTTGTTTAATCTTAATTCAGTGGTATGAGAGGAGTTGCGGATAAGAGATAGGTACCCTAAAGCCTAACAGATGGACGGACGGACGGACATTCCTATTACTATATACCCTCCCCATTTTCAAGCCGGGGATTATGTAATAAGTTGTATAAATTATTACCATGACACGTGATATTGACGTCACTCCAGGTTCCATTCCTCAGGCACTCCACGGTCTCGTCCCCAGACGGATTATATCCGTCTACACAGGTTAAGCTGTGCTTGCTCCCCAGATTTAGAGCTTTTTCAGAACTAAAATTCTGAACATTTTGTGGAAGCTGTAAGTCTACTGGATGACAATCTTCATTAAAAAAAAAACCCACAAACTACCTTCATAAGTGTAATACAAACTTCACTTATAGTACTAGGTACAATATTTTTATATAAATAATGTTAATGGTAAATCAATAAAAATGGACTTTAATTTACCAACATATTTAAACTTTGTTAGTACATATTGTTGTAGATTGACATTAATGTGTTAAAAATAAACTTAATACATTTTTAGTACATAATAAAGCCGGATATCTTAATTAAACTAATCACAGAAAAATAAGTAAGAGGTTTGATTAAAAGCTTTGAATATATATTTTACAGTACGGAAGCCCGATGAGGCCAGTTTAAAGAAACAAATATTTTTATTGTGTTTAAATGCAAAAATATTGCGTTTAATAGCAAATTCTTTCGCGTTTATACGCAATCTTTTGCGATTAAACGCAAAGTACTGAGTACTTTGTGTTCAAACGATGAAACGCAATAAAAAAAATTTTTCTCTGAACTGACATGAACGGGCTTCCGTATTACAAATATACGAAGGAAAAATTTTCTTTTCCCACATCTTTCACCTAATTGTTTCACCCAATAGCCCATAGGAAGCCACATTCTAGTGTGTGGTGGGGTTGGTTCCCTTTCTAAGGAAGAAATTCTTCAAAATCATATGTCAGTTTTAAATATTTTTAATATTCCATAGAAACCAAAATGAGTTTGAACTCCCCATTATATATTGGATTCCAAAATCCATACAAAGAAAGATACATTGCGGGTTCCAGTAAATATTCAACCAAGCCTCTTTCGTTACTCCTCACTAGGATATTGACAGTAGTGAAGGAAAAACTTCAAGAGTAGTTAGAGTACTGTGCAACGATATATTCAAGAAGTGCATGGTGTGAATCAGATGTGGATACTCAAAAATTCCAAAGAATTGTTGGATAATTTGAAATCACAAGATTTTACCAAAATCAACAGCTTAAAAACTTACGACTTTTCAACTTTATGCACAACCATTCCCCGCGATAAATTTAAGTCCAGGCTTTTTGATATCATTGACAGCTGCTTTTTCAATAAAAATGAAACTCGTAAATTTACTTACCTGGTCATTTGCAAAATTATTTTGTTGAAACACATTCTGATTGCACACACAAGTACTCTGAAGTTGACATCAAAGAGATGCTTGAGTTTCTGATTGACAACATCTATGTTGTTTTGGGAGACCAGGTATTCCAACAATCAATTGGAATTCCCATGGGTACCAATTGTGCTCCGTTATTAGCACACCATTTTTTTATATTCATATGAAGCAGAATTTGTGCAAAATCTTATGCGTGAAAAGAAGAAAACACTTGCTGTGGCCTTCAACTCAACATTTAGATATATCGACGACGTATTCTCAATTAACATGAGAATGGTAATTTCCATTCTACGTCGATACGATATATCCTGGTGAGCTTGAGATAAAAGATACCATAGAGTCTGACACATCTGTTTCATACTTGGATATTTTACTTGAAAAAGACATAAATGGTAATGTAACAACCAAGCTATATGATAAACGTGATGAATTTTCTATCGTCAACTTCCCTTACTTATGCAGCAATATACCTTCATCACCTGCATACGGAGTATACATATATCTCAGTTGATTCGATACGCAAGAGCATGCTCTACGTATGAACAATTACTAAAACGAGGTAAATTGTTGACAAGCAAGTTGATGAAACAAGAATATCAGCAGTCTCGTTTAAAGTCATCATTTTGTAAGTTCTATGGTCGATACAATGACCTTGTCAGCTAATACAATTTATCATTGAGTCAAATACTGACTGACATTTTTCATACTTATTGTTAGTCCATTATTTATACACTGAATTGACGACGGATTTTTCCGTTATTTTCCGATCATGACAAGGAGCACACGGCGGGTGTGATCGGTCAGCAGGGGATGCTCACTCCCCCATGGCACGTGATCTCACCTCTGATGTTTCGGTGGTCCGTGTTTGCTCTGCTCCTATTTTGTATTGTTTGTGGACTTTGAGATTGAATACTGTTCGTTATCTACATATCCTTCTTCTTAATTACAAACATTTTCAGTTCAGTGGAGGAGGGGAATCCAGGCCAAAATTCCATCTCATTGTAACAAGCTTAAAATAGTTTTTAAAAATATAGTTTTGTGTAGAATAGAAGAAAAGGCCAAACGCTGTTTGAAATTTAATTCTTTTTTTTTTTCTTTAAAGTTAAACTAAGTTCAATTGACGCTTTATGATGCCAGTTGTAATCGTGTTTTTTAATCATTTGAAACTCTTTTTTATTTGCCCCCCTCCCCCCTTATCTACATCTCATTCTCAATCTTGTAAAAGAAAATTAAAACAAAAATTAAAAGCATGACTTAATTATATCATCCAACACATAAAGTATTAAATTTATCATAAAACACCCAGATGTTCACAACTACTTACGTGCTAGCTTGCATTCAGTGGAGACGTAAGAATTTTTGATACACTTTTGGTTAAAAGCGCATCTTATGTTCTTACATGCCTCTGATATTTCCTAAAATATAAATAAGGGGAAAAAAAGAAAAATAAAGAAATTCTTCGGAAAGAAATTTATTTAATCACTAAGTCTTTACTTCTCTTCTGGTAATCTATACACATTAGAATATTAAATCAATTTAAAACAAAAAAACAAATTTAACATATTACCATAGGCCAAGATTCTCGACGGCTAAAGATCCACCCTTCTTCATCTGACAACTTTGCATTGGAGCCTTCGCCGCTCTCGTAGTTCAGTTCACAGAATTTCTCGGCCCGCCTGTAGTTAAATGACAGACATTCGGAGCGGATCAAACATTCCTCGGCGCAGTCCAGGGGACTGACCTGGGCTATAATGGTCAGTAGCCTGCCCAGAAGCCTCTTACCCCATTGTAAATTATCATAGCCAGTTTTCAAGGACCCGTCTGTTAAAACAAGGCTAAAGAAAATCGCATTTAGGAAGAACCTACTATGCAACATCCTTGCATCTTTAAAATGTCAAGAGTTTTACTATTTTTTATTTACGCGTTAAGTTTGATACTAAAGATTTTACGCAAATGAGCAGGTTAGAGGCATATTGATCTATCTCTTTTTATTCATAAATATTTTATTGCTATCTCTTTGATTCTAGATAATCCTTATGTTGTCTACAAAATATTGCCACATTAAGAATTCTACATTTTTTATTAAAGAGATTTCTGTTTGAGGAATCCATTGAGTGGGAATATTACTTAAGAAATATAAAAGATATACATGCATGTACTGAATTTGTGAAGTTGACTTTGGCAATTAATTATTAAATAGTCTACATACAGGCTAACCTTTTATCTTTTCAACTGTAAGGGTAGGTATTTCGATATTAAGGGAAAACAATTCTTGTCATGCATGGCATTTTATAATAGAAAAGTAATCAAATATTTCATTTTCACGGAGAAAATGTTTGAAAAACTCATAATGACAAAGAAAAGAAAGCCTCATCTCATGTAAAATGTATGACACAATATATTCAGAACAAAGGATCGCTACCAAAAAGGGTAGCACGTATTCTTCTTAATTTATGAATAAAACATTTATCTGTGATTGACACAGCATTTGTTCATGTTTTATTCATGCAAGCAATATCACAGCATGATCTGCTTCAGTCTGGCAGAAATTTGATATTTTATTGATAAAACCCTTTTGTTTTGGAAATTCTGTTTTGTTTAGTGTAAGTTTATAGAGTTGAATAATGGGTTTATGTATTTTCATTCCGTTTCTTATGATTAATGTATTCGTACATAATTCAGTGAGTAATAAAATAGGTGGAAACAAAGAACAGAATCGATCAGTCAATCAATTATTGATGACTTGTAATAGAATTTTCCTTTTAGGAAATTTATTTTTTTATAAAGAATGTTCTTCTATCTTTTCGTTTAAATGCGATCAGAACAAGGAGCATGTTGAATGAAATATGAAAAAAAAAAAGCAAACAGTGATCTAACTCAAAGTCCATTCAACAATTTAAATTCGGATCAGAGGAAACACAGACCTCTAAAAACATTAGAGGCGGGATCCGGTGCCAGGGAGAAGAAAGTGTCTCCTTCTGACCAGTCACACCTACCATGTGCTTCTCATGATCGGCCAAATAGATAGCCATATTTCATCAACTTCTTTGTCAATAACTTGACTTGTGTAAGAAATAGTTTGCCTTCGAATCGAGTTTCGATTTTACTGTGTAAGTAAAGCAATAGTGGATCAATTAAGTGAAATAACTTCATGTTGTAAATTGATTGTTTGGTCTGAAATAAAAGTTCCATATTGGGTAGCACAGAATAAGCACAACTGAAGCGACTGTTTAAAATAAGCCTACATGTATATGTAAAAGAATGCGCAAGTTAAGAAAATTTTGTTTACGAGGGTCGTTAGAAAAGTTCGCGGACACATTGAATTACGGAAAATCTATTGTGTACTTTGAAGTATGACCTATGTCTGAATAAATTCCCATATTTTGTTTATTGGTATGTAAAAAATCAGGTCCATATGATAAAATCTTGAAAATTTACAAGGATTTTTACTATAAGGTCATGGGATTCACGGAGCAATCACTTGACGTAAGGCGACGTGACAACCAGATTTCAACCCGTTAAGCTTTGTCGCAGTTCTATAAATCTTTCAATTCTTCGGTTTTTTCTTCAATATTTTTCTACTTTAAAATTAAATATCTTTATCAAGACATGTTACTTTTCTACTATAATGTCTTTTGTACTGATTTGGATATTATTGAGATCTTTATAAAAGTCTATGCAGTAAATCGATCAGGTATAGAAAGTGTGCAAAACCATATAGGCGCAACGCAACGTCCATGCGATACGGGGGAATTGAAGTATCGATGGAGTTAATCGTTAAAAATGTTAATCCTTCATTCTGATGAAGATACAACCATTTGAAAACTTGTCCTTTGTAGGTGTAGGAAATTCCCGGCAGCATCTTGAACATTTTAATCTCTTTTTAGACATTTTCCAATCTGCTTACATAATTTTTACGCAGTGCAGTGCTCCATGACGCTCAATGACGTTCCGATTTTGGCTGTGTTTTCAGGCGTTGATCATTTAATAACGGCTATAAAACAGTCATACACCCTCCAATTTAGATCAAATTTTCTCCCAGTGACGTTTTATAAATACTTTAGCGGCAGGTAAAATATCATAAATCTATTTCCGCTACAATTGTGCAATTTTTAATTTTAATAAAGAGTCTTTGTGATGTAAACGTGTCAAAATGTAGCATGCTCCGTGAAGCAAGTTTTATCAAAATAAAAAAGCTGTATATTTTTCAATAATCACCGGAGAGAACCAAATTCTTGGATATTTATTGGGAAAAAGGTAAAGATTTTATCTGGAAAGTTTGACCGGTTTCGTGGAAATAGCGCGCTCAAAATAGAACTTGTCGGCGAACTTTTCTAACACCCCTCGTATAGACGGTAAGTACATCCTACATACAACACATAACATTGCGACAGGGTGGGGTGTTCTTTTCTCTGAAGTTAACTGTTCTCCGTCAATAAAAGTGTCCATGACTACTGGTTAAAGATATCTTCTGCGCTGTATTAGCAGATTATACATGTATACAGAAATATGGAATAAAATGTACCAAAAGCACCAAAAATCAACTGGTATACTTTTCCCCCTTTCTTGTAATATTTGAGTTAAAATTCTTTGTGAATTTAATCAATTAAATTTTCACTGTATTCTACGGAAGCCCGTTGGTACCACGTACGAGAAATATTTTATCTGGCAGCCACCACTTATTATTTGGCGGCCGCCACATAATTTATATGGCCGTCGCCACATATACATCTGGCGGGCGCCACATAAATTATTTTGCAAAAGGTGAGTGTTATTTGGTTAAGAAGATGATGGATGTTGACACAGCCGTTGCTTATTCATAAAAAAGTTAATGATAAAAAACGAATTGTGAAATATTGGAACACCATTGTTAGAAATCCAAAATGCAAAACTTTATTTAATTCTCAATCAATCATAGCTTACAGCAAACACAAGAGTACAGGTCACGAGATAACCCGGTGTCACCTAAAACTAACACCATGATTTATGTCCGTGACCCTGATGAGGCTTCTTAATAACCGAAACACTCTACAAATACTTGCATAATTCAAATCAAATATTAATCTGTTCTATATACAAAAACATACCTACTATTAGAGTGGATTGGAGTGTTGTTCATAATAAATCTCTTACAAGTTCGGTTGATTGGTGTCGCTATTATAATTTTTACACTGTATCCACCTCTGAAATCACACGTTAAAACATATTGTAACGTGCAACGCGGCCGAGCTTGGTATTGGTGATATGTCTTGTATCACCGAGGCGTTACACTTAGGTTCGTTAACCTGTTAACTCAGGTTTTTGTTGACCAAATAAAATATAAACACAAATACAATACAATAATACGATAAAGTAATACAATGGATCTCTTCTTGATTGGACAACCACTAACTGTGGTCACCGGGTGTCTCCCGCAAATGAATTTCTTCTTGTCTTGCCACTTCTCAAGTACTGACTCCTGGCACTCTCCCCACTTCTCACTGTGGTATGCCACCTCTCTCTCGATCTATACTACCAAATGACTGCCTTATTCAGGTCTTACGCTTTTGGGTAGTCTACAACACTTAACTGTCTATCCCCCGCAACTGCCTGCCTTATTCAGGTCTTATGACCGTGTGTAAGAGGAGAAACAAGCTAAGGTTTAATAACTCCGTCACCAGAGAGGTCTCAAAGGTCCTGCAATACAATTAGTATTATCCCAATGCAGTCTCCGTACAATGGCAGTCTCATACTACTTGTATGATCGTAAAATTAATATTTTTTAGTGTTTAAGACTTTTAACAAAAACGTAAGTCTAACGTTTATACGAAACTAAACGATGAAAATCAACTACCGTTTCACTACCCTACCCTCAAGATTATATGCGTCCCGCATATGATTAACTATTTACAATTTTTACATCTGTACAAAACTTTGCAATTGCCTGACAATCTGTGACATCTCCGTAGGCATCTATGAATGCATCTTTGGACAGAGTTTCTCGCACATCACCAGGCCAAATTGTTTAGTCGTCTAATGGCCTTACCTAACGCTGGTATGGACTCAGATACTCTTTGCCTTCGTTCCTTTAGCTGAACACAATACAGATCTGTTTGGTTAGGAGGAGAGAACCTCTCCTCAAGGGATCTGACCAGTGTCTTATAGTGCTGACCAGTATCGCTTGGCAAGTCACCTAACACTGACTGTGCTTGGCCACGCAGTGATACAGCTAGGTAAAGACCTTTCTTATCCTCTGTCCAGCCATTTACAACAGCACAAGCCTCAAAATGTGACTTGTAGTCAAGCCAGGAACTGGTTCCGTCATACGTGGCTGGCTTGATTATATGGCCTGTCTTGGTATTATCTGTCCCTACTGACTGCCTCTGTAGTTTTGGCGTGTCAAATAGGTGGTCTGTCACAATGTCGTCAACCCCAACAATTGGTGTGCAACTTGGTTTGCCTTCGTCTGGAAATCTAACTTTAGGCCGTGCGCCGTACTTGTTAAATGACACATCTCCTGACATACCGGTATTATCAGTACTGTGTGTTGCATATCCAGACTCTCGGCTTGCCGCATTTGTCTGACCACCGTCACTGGTTGGCGTTCTCATCTTCTCTAAGATCTTTTTCATTCGCTCTATAGTTTCTGACACTGTCTTATATGAATCCATGGTCAACAAAATCCCGACGCTTGCCACCAAATAATGTAACGTGCAACGCGGCCGAGCTTTGTGTTTGGTGATATGTCTTGTATCACCGAGGCGTTACACTTAGGTTCCTTAATCTGTTAACTCAGGTTTTTGTTGACCAAATAAAATATAAACACAAATACAATACAATAATACGATAAAGTAATACAATGGATCTCTTCTTGATTGGACAACCACTAATTGTGGTCACCGGGTGTCTCCCGCAA